TATATTTTTATGTAAAACTTGGGTCGGCCATTTTGGCCCCGCCCTACCCCCGGGGGTCATGATTTGAACAAACTTGAATCTACACTACCTGAGGATGCTTCCATATAAATATGATGAATTATGGCTTGGTCATTCTTGAGAAGAAGATTTTTAAAGACGACAGACAAAATGTGATCAGAAAAGCTCACTTGAGCCTTTTTATACAGTCTCTTTAATTTTCTCTAGTTTTTTGGCACATTTACAATCAGCTGTAACCCAAGGTTTACATGTATTAACTTTACAATTTTTGATTTCTTTGTTACAATTTTTTGTGCCAAATACTTCTGTAGCACTTTCTACAAAGATTTCACCAACCCTATCTACAATATTATCGAAAAACTCCAAATAAGTATCTTCAACTGCACAGTTTTTTATATAATTTTCAAGGACCTTAACTACATTCACCCTTTCTTCAGCATATTTTTGGTAGTTCAACTTTTTATCAGTATCCCAGTTTTTTAGCAACTACATAACAAGGGCCAGGACGTTGATCATTAGTTCTACACCCTATAAAATGTTCATTTCTAAACATTAATGAAACTTCAATAGGATTATGCACATCTGAAAAAAAGTGTGCAAAATTGTAGTATCTTGAAATCTGACACATATTTTATAAAATCAATATTGGCTATACGATAATCCACAACACTTGTTTGTTTATAAGTTAATTCCCCATCACTATCACCTCTTGATCTACCATTTAGTATGAAAATATTACACTGTTTACAAACATCTAGAAGTCTTCTTCCATATTGATTAATAACTACATGTATATCTGTAGAATTTCTCTCGATAGCAAAATTATATTTTTCCAATTGACTTACATCAACATATTCTTCAAGTAAAATATTTTCACCGATAACAGGGGTTACAGTTTCTAAATATTTTAAAAAATCTTTTCCAGTTGACACCCTACTATTGAAATCACTAACTAAGCATATGCATTTATTTTCAATTGCTATGTTTGATATTTCTCTTTCGAGTGCATCAAACATTTCAACAGAGGAAAAGCGATAATTTGAGGGTGGTATGTAAACAGTTCCTATTATCAAATCATCTATGTTACCCTTTTTTTTACCTGTAATTTTAATCCATAGTAAATTGTCACATTCGTTATTAATAACAGTAGCATATTTAGCTAGAGTATCTAGATTTCCGTATTGCTAATTTTGACCTATGCTTACTAAATACTGTAGAATTAGGAATATCGATAATGTCCGCTTCATCAGTTTTTGTTTCTGTTAAACAAACAATATCATACTGGTTGATAAATTCAATAAATTCTAAAAAAAATTTGAAGTTTAGATAAGAGCCCAGAAACATTCAAACTAACAATTTTTAATTCTGAATTGCTTCGTATTGCTGGAAGTTGAATGTGAGAAGTACATAATATATTGTTGTGTTTACTGCATATAAAATTAAAACTACGGAATATAATTTTAAATTTAAGAAATAAATAACAAGTTTATAAACTTAATTTAATGATAAAGGCCGAAGGCCTTCTCACACTTATATATATTGATGGATATTTTCGAATTTAAATTATTGTACAGATTTTGAATGATAAATCGGCTTGCATGGCGGTTACATTATTAGGCTAAGGAATCTGTTTCGATATTTTGTGAAAGGCTTCTTGTGATCAGTAATAGTGAACAGATTGTTGTCTGGGAATATTTTATTCGTGATAAATGATAATCGATGCTTAAAAGACACAAGAAACACGTCCGAAGTTTGATGATAAAAAGTTGGAGGAATTTCGGTCGCTGGAAAGGGATGGATGGATCCGATGGACTGAAACACTTGTCCGAGCCAGTTAATTTTCTCAGTAACTAAAGGCATACTTATCGTAAAACACTGATAAACACGGAGACACTGGCGACAGCTTTACATTGAACTACGAAAATGCCGAGGTGTTTGGCAGCTACATTATTGCAAACTAAGATATTTTCCAACAGCATATAATTTAAAGATAAAATAAAAGTTTATCATGAAAATTTAACCAAAGGTCTTGTGCAGCAATATAATGAAACACAGGTTGAAAATAGCCCAAAAACTGTATGAAATACTTGTTTACATTTAAAATAAAATAATTATCATTTTACTTGCTTATTTTATTCATTTTTAAACATGAAAAGCAAGTAGAGCAGGCCATTTTATAATTTATGTACCGGTAGATATTATTGCGCCGTGTGATTAGGTCACGTATTGACCTCTGACCTCTAACAAACTTCATACAGAATTGAAGATATTTTCTCTCTGTATGTTTATATAATGGAGAGATACCACAAATGTATATATATAATGTTTAATCCTCATATAAGACAGTCCGGCGTTCCATACGTATGAACAATTATAATCAATATATCAAGAAAATCACAGAAGTATGATATGCAAATTTTACATGATGAATTTTATTTTACATCCTTATCGAGATTTCAAAACAATGTTTTTTTTTATCATTGTCTTAAAAATAACTTTAAAATAAAATATCAGCAAACAGTATTACTAAAATCAAAGCAATGTGAGCTGTAACTTTGATGTTACAAAATTGTCATTAACCATTTCAAGGACAGAGAAAAGGAACATTTATAAACTTCTGTCATATTTGTAATAGAAGAACCATTTACAGCTCTTGTTGATACAATGTACAAAATTACATTATTGTCTACCTGTACAATATT